GGCTTTTAATTTTGAGAAGTTGTTAGATAAAATCTAGAGACACAAGTCTATGCTGGGATGGAACTAGCAAAGGTTGCAAGAGTCTGGGTAGCGGAACTTTCTTTATGTTTACAAATATCGCAACATTAGATCCATTGACTAATCTACGCTTTTATACACGACCAACAAAAGTGTTGCTTTGCATGCTTATAGGTGGTCTTCATTCTCGAGTGGCCTCCTATAGCTGAATTGTGGGATTGATACAACAGTATGGCCTTTAGCCCGTCATTGTCTCCAATCACCAACCTGCCTTGTAATGCATAGTTCCTTGATGTAGATTAATGGAGGCTTATTATTGGGGAATATCAATAGTTCCTCAAGTAGTGACTGAATAAAGGAGTCATTAATGTAGCTGTTGAGTACTTTGAGAATTCGTGTTGGAGTTGTTGTAGTAACAAAATATAGGGCTTCTGCTTCATTCCTCCCTTTTTCTTTTCTTGAAAGGGCATATGCGTCAGAATTGGTCTCTGCTTATATTGAATGGTGCAATTTGCCATAGCAATTTCATTATTACTTATGTTGGACCATGGACGACAGTCTCTTATTTAGGAGATTCTTGGGGCTTCTCTGATCTGTTTTGATGATGAGTCCCCTCTAAATAATGTCGTTGCTAACTCACTGCATATAATATTGGCAGGAGCTCTTTCTCATATATAGATTTGAATTGATTCCGAGTACTCAATTCCTTATTAATGAAGGCTATGAGTCTTCCTTTTTGCATTAGAGCAGCTCCAATACCTTTGTCATTAGTATTGATTCCCACCATAAAAGGATCTCAAAATTTTTTTAGGTGTAATATTCGACTGGAGGTCATGACACATTTAAGTTGTTGGAAAGCTTTTTTGACATTAGAAATTCTATTGAAATGCGTCATTTTTCAATAAACTAATGAGTGGCTTTGTGATGTTCCATTGTTGAATGAATTTGTGATAGTAACCTGTCAAATCTAGAAATCCTCTGAGTGCTTTTAAGGTTCTTGGTGGGGGCTAACTTACTATTGCTTCGATTTTCCTGAGGTCTATTTTCACTCCTTGTTGGGAGACAATGTGACCTACATATCCTACTTCCATTTGGAGGAAACAAAATTTTGATTGTTTGACATATAATTTATGGACCCTTAGTAGTTTTAATACCTTATCCAATTGCTTGTATTGCTCTTGTTTATTCAAGTTATGGACCAAAATATCATCAAAGAAAACTTGGACAATTTCTAGAGGAAGGCCTTGAGACATGGTTCACGAGGGCCTAGAAGGTCGTCAGTGCATTAGTGAGACCGAAAGATATAACTTTAAATTTGTAGTGGCCCTAGTGTGTTCTAAAAGTTGTTTTTTATGAATGTCCTCCTGCTTTACCCTTATCTAGTGGTAGCTTGATTTGAGATCCAACTTTGAAAAAATTGTAGCTCTATGGAGTTCATCCGATAAACTCATTAATGATTGGAATAAAGAACTTATCTTTCACCATGAAGGAATTCAGGTCTTTATAACCGATACAAAACCACCATAATCCATCTTCCGTTTTCACTAGCAGAAGTGGAGACCAAAAAGGACTGTGATTAGGGTGGATGATGGAATCTTCAAACATCTTCTGAATCTGTCTCTCTATCTCATTCTTCTGATGGAAGGAACATCTAGAAGGGCAAATGTTCATAGTCGCCCCTTTTTTGAGTTAAGGATATGCACGGTCAAAGGCTCTGGGTGGAGGTAGACCGTGACGCTCTTCAAAGAAATCCTTGTAGCGTTCCGAAAAAATTTCCAATGCTTCATTCAACCCTTTGGTTGTTGTTTCCTTTGGTTTTGTCACCATCACCAGGAATACCGTCCCTCATTTAATGGATTTCTTATGCTTCAACTATTTTTGTGCTGTTGGCCTTTTTAAATTAGATAAGTTTTCATGCTTATCTCTTCCTTCGAGAACTATTAACATGTCATTAAAATGGAACTTCATAGTGGTATGAACAAAATCAAAGACTGTGGAATTGAATTGTGTCATCTAGTCAATCCCTAATAGCATGTCATGTCCTAACTCGATTACATGAAAACTGTAGCAAAATTTGTATCACTGCATTATTTGTAAAACCTCGGGATGCTCGATGTTGCTAGAGATCTTTTGGCCATTAGCTACCATCACTGTCAATGGTTTCTCTCCTACCATCTTATTCTTAATGCATTTTGCAGCATTCTCGTCAAGGAACGAGTGTGTGCTACTGTTGTCGAAAAGGATCAAGCATCATGTCCTTATGTTCCTCTGACTTTTGATGTGCTACCAGCAGTGATTCATTCAATGGTCTGAGTGGATGGTGTCCCTTTGTGGGTCTTCTTCACATATAGCTAGATTCTCCATTGAAGCCTCGCCTTCTCTTTCGTGGCAGGTTAACTCTTCCACAACCATCATATTTTTGGGTCTGCATTGATGTCCAGAAAAGTAGCCTTTACCGCACTTGTAACAGGAGGTGGTTGTTCACCTTACTTCAGTCCTTCAGTGAATTCTTGAGGGTAGAGTTTTAGTAACGTCCCGGTTCTCTAGTTCCTGAGAAATAAGCACTCCTGGGCTATGTGGATCGTTCTGGCAGCAGAGCATATTCAAATACTTGGTTGAGTGTTTGTGGCTTAAGCAGGCATATGATGGGCTGGAATTGTGGTTTCAAGCCAATGATGAAACTCGATATAAAGAATCTCTTTGACGGAGTTGGGTTACTCGAGGTCATGAAAGCCCTAAAGTGCTTGAACTGTTCATGATTCTCCATTGAAGCCTCAAAGCCCTAGATGTATATAATTGATTTTAAAAACGACATTACTTATATTTGATTAATTATCAAGTTAAGTAATTCTTTTTTAGAAATTTATTATTATTATTGTTGTTGTTGTTGTTATTATTATTATTATTATCATCACGTCATCATCATCTCACATAATTATATAGTTATACATATATAAAATATAAAATAATGATAAATTCAAGATGATTGCCGAAATTCACTGCAGACCAATAGGTGCCACTCTAGTCCCAAAACTGAGATACTAGTTGGCATCTGTTTACCATTTTGTTTTAGACCCGATTAGACTTGTGGGATATATCTCGAGTTTACTGGCAAAGTGCTGGCTAAAAGGCTGACATTAGGGGTTTGGTGGGGTAGACAGACTCTTGATGGTCCAGTGATCACTAATGAAATGGTTGGAACTGTATTGAGCAATGGTGAGCAGGGTCTTTTATGTCAATCGGATATTGAGAAAGGTTACAACCATATTTCTTGTTCCTTCTCTATCTTCTTCAGAGGATTGATTTTGCCTTCATGTGGTTTCTCACAATATTTCTTCCCCTTCTGTTGCTGTCCTTATCAATGGTGGGCCATCAGATTTTTTCAAGCCTTCCAGGGGTTTAAGGTAAGGGGACCCCTCTCCATCATTTTCGTGCTGGTCATTGAAGTTTTTAACTGCTTAATTCTTAGTGTCAGAGGCAAAACCTAATGGGGCTTAGTGTGGGGAATGGGTTGACAGATTGTGTATGGATAAAATTACTGATACTTTACTTTGTGGGATGCAAAATTAGTCTTTTTGTTGTTGCATCTAGCCGGTGGAGATATAACCGTGATGTGATTCTTTTTGTTGAGCTACAGATAGCATAATTCTTTCTTCAAAGGTACACAGAATGCCAGTTGAAATGTCATCACATAATTTAAAATATCAAAACTGTGGTGCAGTTTTATATTAATGAACTCAAAAACATTTTATGGAGTATGATTTTGTTGACCTTTGCTTTAATGTCTTGTCATATTGTCCTAAAAATTTGCTCCACTTTTTGTTCCTCTCCCTTTCTTTTCACCATTTTCGCATGTTAATTATCTCTAAGTATGTTTTAATGCCACACAAACTATATGGGCAGGTTATTCCTTTTTCAAGGGGAAGTGCATGGGAACAACCACCGCCAGACTTAGCGTCTTACTTATATAAGAATCGAATTGTTTACCTGGGAATGTCTCTTGTTCCTTCTGTTACAGAGTTGGTACTGGCTGAATTTTTGTACCTTCAGTATGAAGATGCTGAAAAACCTATCTACCTATATATAAATTCAACTGGAACAACAAAGGTAAACAATTATTCATTTACTGACTCCATGTATTTTTCTGTAAATATTCATTTTGTGCACATGGTAATCTTTTAGTATTATAGGCCCAAATTGAATAGACATGTAAGGTCTATATTTCAATTCTTGATGTGTTGTGCATAGCTTAATTGAACCTGAATTAGAAGCTAGTTTGCTAAATTTTCTATCATGGTTGCAAGTTTGTCCAATACTCAGTATTTCATTTTAGACTTTGCATTGTGCAAATAGTTAATATGGTGTGCAACAAGAAGACCCTAAAATTTATAAATGTACTATATTGTTTAGAACTCACAAAAATGGTCTATGACTTTTGACCGCTTTCTCAAGTTGATCTTAACCTTTCAATTGTTGTACTTAAGTTATTTACTTTTCATTTTTCTTCCAAGTCCTTTAGTTAACTTAGCTATTAAAAATAAACAGATTTTTGGACAGACTATCATCACATAATAGTCATATCATCAAGTTATGGTTGCTAGGTACATTGATATGTTCTATTTAAAACCTCATCCAGTTTTATAAGGTTAAAATCTAATTGCTGAAGACTATTTCTTTCAGGTTTGCTCTATCTTTCAACTTAGACAGTGTAATATACTTCATTTAATTTTTTCTCAGCTATGCCATCAATTTTTAATGGTATAGCTGCAACATATTGATGATGTATCCAAAAATGTATTTTTTTTAAGAGATAAGTTATCTGAAGAATTGAGTAGAAAAAAATGGAATATCAGGGGCTTGATTGCAACTATTGAAAAGTCAATGACCAAACAGAACAGACAGTCAGAGGGACTATTCGCGCCATTAGGCCTGTTGTTTAGGACAGTTAGCTTCTTTGTAAACTATTAGGAATAGGCTTTTCATTGATTAGTATCTTATTTCTTATTTAATTATAAATCTTTTTCTTTGGTTTTCCTATTCAAAGATTCTTTTCATAATAGCTTATGTAAACAACATATAGGTATATGGGTGGTTCATCATTATTAAACAGATTGTACCTTTATAAACTATTTATTTCCTCTTGTCGAACTGTGATAGCTTGTGATTTTTGGTTGCTGATGTTCCTTGTAACTATGGATTGGATTTATCTTTAGTTTTCCTATCTCTCTAAATCCTAATCTGCTGCACTGCATCATACTGCTATTAAAATTTCAATATTTCTGTTAAGTTTTAATTCTAACCTCTTTTTTGTGGTAGGGTTAATATGATTTGAATAGCATAAGTAGATTGAACAAGTTGTCGCCTGTCTTTCTAAGGAAGAAGAAAAATATTGTAAACAAGGCACCGCTTGGGTGCCAATTGTGAAGAAAAGGCATTTACACAATAGAGGGAGTTAAACAAGGTCCTCTAGATCTTCTCCGTGGTGATCTTTACACAAAATTGGAAGCCTAAAAAATTTTCTATTCCTTTTTTCTATAGAATGACCCAGATAATGGCCAAAGGGATGAGGAAGAGAATCTTTTTTTTGGACTGCTTACAACAAAAAATCATTACAAGCCCAAATCTCATTAGCATTGTGCCACCAACAATCCTACTTGAGGAGATTAAGGAAAAATCTTACAACCAAAGAATGAGATGGTTGAGGGTTAACTTTTATGAAGGCACACAACGCGACCATTGACTTCAATTTTATAGCCCTTCATCAAATTGTCAGTGGTAATAATTCTTTTCTGTAAGTGGCTTCATAGGAAGAAGAAAAAGTCATCTAAGGCCCTTGTTGTTTTGGGTCTAGCATTCTTTTATAAGACCCTCGTATTCCCTGTTCCCATGTCAAATTTTCTCGTCATACTCAATGGGATGAAGATATGCGTGACCCCTATGAGGTGCATTGAAAAATCAAAATCCTTGATGATTTCTGCATGGCAATTTAAGAGGAAGTCAGCAATGTGTTATGTTGCAACTGTAAGGGAACTTAGCGATGGTAAGGACAAAGCTGTCCCTAAGCAAGCGGTGCCAAAATGTGTGCTCCTTGAGGAGTTCAAGGACGTGATGCCTCCGGATTCCTAATAAACTTTCATCAAAATGAGAGTTGGACCACGAGACTAAGCTGGAACTAGGTGCCAAACCTCTTGCCACGACCCCTTATCGTATGGCACCTTCAGAATTGGCAGAATTAAGGAGGCAACTCCAAGACCTCCTCAATGCAGGCTATCAGCCTTTTAAAGCCCTTAACGATGCACCAGTCCTCTTTCAAGAGAAGAAAGATAGGTCGTCGTGCATGTGCATCGACTATCGAGCCCGCAACAAACTCACTATCAAGAACAAATATTCAATTCCCTTGATAGCTGATTTGTTTGACCAATTGGGGAAGACACAGTATTTTACGAAGCTTGACTTCTCGGGTTATTACCAAGTGCACATTGCAGCTGGTGATGAGCCAAAGATGACATGTGTGATAAGATACGTTACTTTTCTCTATTTTTATACCACATATCCTATTTATTTTGACGCCAATAAATGAAGCGACTTCTATAATTTATAGAAATTAAATAAACTAGAACAGTGTTTTTTAAAATGCATGTGTTGAGTTCCTAACCATGTTAGGCCGCACCAATGCCCCTGCCGCATTTTGCACTCTTATGAATAAGTTGTTCCATCCCTTCCTTGATTAGTTCGTGGTAGTTTACTTGGATGACATTGTGGTGTATAGCACAATGTTAGAGCAACATGTGTAGCATCTCAAGCAAGTCTTCCAAGTTCTCTACGAGAATGAGTTGTATAAAAAAGTGGAGAAATGTTCTTTTGCTCAATAAGAGGTGGAGTTCCTTTGGTATAAGATTCAGGATGGCAAATTGATGATGAACTTGGTGAAGGTGCAAGTTATCAAGAATCGAAGTCTCCCACAAAGGTACATGATTTGAGATTGTTTCTTAGATTGGTGAATTACTATCGTCGGTTTATCAAGTTATATTCTGTCATAACTTCACATTCACCAACCTTTTAAAGAAGAATTGTATATGGAAATGGACACAAGTGCCAATACGCCTTCGAGAATTGAAGTTGGCAGTCTTTGAAGAGCCTGTCACGTCTCTTCTAGATTATTCTAAACCTTTCGAAGTACACTCGAACGCCTCTGATTTTGCAATTGGAGGAGTTCTAATGCAAGAAGGACACCCAATTGCTTGTGAAAATCGTAAACTCAACGAAACTAAGAGGCGATACACTGTCCAAGAGAAGGAGATGACTACCATCATATATTTCCTATATATGTGGAGACATTACTTGCTCGGCAACAAGTTTGTCATTATGACGGACAATGTGGCTACAAGTTATTTCAATATGTAAAAGACACTAAGTTCCGAGCAGGCTTGTTCGCAAGATTTTTTGGCCGAAATTGACTATTGTCTACAATACAAGCTGGGCAAGCTAACGTGACGGCCTATGCATTAAGTAGAAAGACCAAACTTGCGACAGTCTCCACGAACACACTATGAAGCGATTTGCTCGATCACATCAAAGAGGGGATGCAACACGATCCATTGGCCAAAAACATGCGAAGCCTGCCAGTGAGGGAAAAACTCGGCAATTTTGGTTGAAAGATGGCATGCTCCATCCCTTAGTGAGCCTTCATATGGATGCTTGAAGTTAAAGGGTACTGAATTTTGCTGGTGTCACTATCCTGAAAATCAATGATATTCTGTGTCAAGTGTCCTGGTTGTGGTGTTAATGACAAGATAAATGCAGCCCATGTTAATAGGTGTGTGTTAAAAAAAAATTATTGGTCTCATTTATCCTTCAAATAAAGTAATTAGCTGTGTGATGCGTCCAAATGTTAATTGTGGTGTTAAGGCCAAAGATTGATGCAGGTTCTAATTTTCATTTGATGATAAGGTTCTTTTTTTTCTTGTCTGATTCTCATTTAGTGTTGAAGCTGCTAGTGATGGATGGTCTTTGCATTTGTGACATCAGCAGCCATAGGGGTTTTCTCTTTGTTGATAGCTAGATATGATGGTAGTGGTAGTAATAGCTTCTTGGATTTTAGCAGTGTAGAAAAAAAAGCATATTTGTTTCTGACATTATTGCTCGAGTACTCAGCTGATTTCTTTCTGGAACTTTCCTTTTCTTTCTTAGCTTTTCCATATTATGCAAGAATAGTACGTCCGCTCGAGTAATCAGCTAATTTCTTTCTGAAACTTTCCTTTTCTTTCATAGCTTTTCCATATTATGGAAGGATAGTACATGAGATGTATGAAAATTGGTGCTCATAAGATGATTTATTAATTTAACCAATGCTCTTTATTTTTTTTTCAGGGCGGTGAGAAGTTGGGTTATGAAACTGAGGCCTTCGCAATCTATGATGTTATGGGGTCATTAATCTCTACAAATTTCTGTCTTATTGCACTATTTCAAAAGAAAGTTATTGATCTGTGTGGTTCATTCTCTAGAAACATTGCCTTGGTTCCTGAAGCTCCTTTTTGTTTTTGACTTTTAGAATCAACATTTTCGTATCCTCTTTAGATGGCATCCACGTCATGTCCACATATAGATTGCTTCAAGAAGCAAATTAACAGCTTGCTTCAGCACAAATAAATAAATAATAAAACATGAGAAAAAAAAGAAACTGTTGGAATCTTCTTCCTTGTGGAATAGAGTGATAAATAGCGAGTATGGGTTGCATCAAAATGGATGGACACAAGCCAGCAATATCATGATTCATAGCAGCCCTCGGACAACCATCTCATAGGTTTATGGTTCTTTTGCTCAGTCACTTCATTTAAGGATGGGAGCTGAGATCATACATCGTGTTTCGGGAGCAATATTTTGGATGGAATTCCTGGTTGTCATATACCGACCCTCATCTTTATAATCTCTCCATTTGTCTAATGTCACCACTCCCACTTTTATGTACCATGATGTTTATATCTCTTTGAACTATTGTCTTGTTTAGGAACTTTGTTGATTGGGAAACATAAAGCTTGCTATTATTTGATGCTTCCCGAGACTAGCTAGATTATCCAAAAGGTCAAATGATTCATTAATTGGGATCTCCTGCATGTGTGATCTTTCTTTTTGCAGTTCAGTACATTTTTTCTGAGTCTTTCTTTTCAGAAAAGGAACTTTAATAACTGGTCAATTCTTGAGACCTCCATGTTGTGTCAAGACCCGATTATAGAATGTTGGCATTAGGCTTAGCTGATGTCTGTACTTTTGGGTCTTAGATTGCTGTCTTTAATCAGTTTAAGACTAATGATGAGCCCTTAACTACATTTGTTCCTTGATGTGTTTGTGCCTAACAAAATTTCATTACTTCTCTGGATTGTTGTAGTAGGATACTGAAGCAAAAAACTACTTGCAGGGAGGTTGTTTTCCCTGGCTTATGGGTGTTTGTGGCTGGGAACTAACGTCTGAGTGTTTAAAGATTGCTTTTCAGCCTATCCTGGTTTAAGGCTCATAGTTTCTTCGGTGGAGTCTTTAACTATTTTCTAAAAGGGACTGGCTAGCTAGTTTGGATTGAAGTTAGAATGTTTTCCGGTTTTATATTCTATGTTGTTGGAAGATGCCTTGTGCGCCTATTACATACCATTTCTTTCTCTCTTTCTAACAATGTCTTCTTTCATCCACAAAGTAAAAATAAAAGAGAACCTGGGTCCTTAAATCTTTTCCAACTTTGTTAATCCTATCTTCCTATACTTGATGCTGAATATAGACTATTTACCTGGAGTATGCCGCTTCATTGAATGAAATTTTTTTTCTATTAACTAATACACAAAAGCTTAACCTGAATAACTGATTATGCATGTCGTCGAGATATTCTTGACACCTTAGAGACAAGAAATATGTGTTGTTTAAACCCTCTTATAACTCTGGAGTGGCTTCTGAAGTTTATATTAGCTTTCTGACTGAAGCATTCTCCTGACCTAAAGGTATGTCAAGCCACCTATATTTACTCTCTGTGTTGGGAATGCTTGGGGGGAAGCTGCCTTACTTTTGGCTGCTGGTGCAAGAGGGAATCGTTCTGCTTTGCCCTCCTCAACAATCATGATAAGACAGGTATCTTCAACACAAAGTCATTTCTCATCATCAAATTTGTTGATTGCTTTTTCTTTTTCTTTTGTTTATGAAGAAGGTTAATTTCTTTTTCCAGCAAGACACCTAGAGCAATGTGCTTACTCAGGTGTCTAGCGGACATGATTTAATTTCTCATGAAATTCCTGCATTATATTTTTTTCTCTCGTGCAATCTGCAGCCAATTGCGAGATTTCAAGGTCAAGCAACAGATATTGATTTAGCAAGAAAAGAAGTAAAAAATGTAAAGGCAGAATTGGTAAGACTAGTTATCAATTACACAGTGCATTTTGTTCTTCTATTGTTTCAATATATGGTTCCTTGTGTTTTCTTGTAATATCCTTAACCAATATGAAGGATAACGTTATCTTTTACAATCCAATGGGCATAATTATTCGAGTTTGTCCAAAATTATACAATTGGAAGTATCAAGAGAAAAACATATATTTATTTAGTTTGACATTGTTTGACATTATTTGGCAAGCTGCTAAAATTGTGTGATTTTTTTTTAATAGGAACTAAGATTAACAAGTATTTTTATTGTGGAAAAGATTCATATATGAGTTCTATTTTTGGAATTGAATTCATATATGAGTTATAACAATTGAGTTATTAATTTTTGGCATTTAAAGAGCTATAAGAGGTCTATTTAAAAAAAAAAGAGCTATAAAAGGTGTGATCGCTCAAGCATGGCCACCATCCCCATCCAAACTTTGAACATTCGTATGAATACACTTGCTAGTGATAACGTGTGTGAATGCGTGCTTGGATGCACTTAAACAAAATGTAGGTGATGCCTAGAAGTTCTTTCTATTTGTTCTTCTCCTGTTTTTAATTTCTGAAATTTATTGCTCTTATTTGTAATAATTGATTTTTGTTTTTGGGTGCATATTTGAAACCATGCTAATTAGTTTTTGTCCTCTTTTAAATCGCAAAAATTGGAAAGATTTTGTCTACCATGTTAGAGAAGTGAGCAATATTTTTTGCTATAGTATGTTACTTTTTGTGTCCGTGATGAGAATTCCGGGTGTTAACTTTTGTCTTGCCCCTTTAAATCACAAGTTTCTGAAAGATTTTGTTGACCATGTTATAGACGTGGGCAGACATTTTTGCTATCCTCAGTTTGTGTGGTTGCACAGGTGCAGATGTTTATTTGTATTTGTGTGTATGTGCCAAAGAACAAGAGAGAGAGGCATTGAGGAGGGAGGAGGGGAGAGTTTTACATGTAATTTGACCTGTATCAACTTTGATATTAATTGCAGATATGTTCAGATTCTCATTTATAAGCATGAAGCGACATAGTCTCAGAAATTTGTTTCAGGCTTATTAGATGCTTGGTGAATCTTTGTTGACATGTTTGATCACTGTAATTACAAGCACAAAAACATGGAAATTTTTTCATTTTCTTTTTAATAAACTAACTTCAGTTATCTTATCAATCTGCCATCTAATTGAAGCTGTACCAATTTTGTTATTACTTACACATGGGTATAAATTGTTTCAGTTATTTTTTTTTTTGAAATAAACAAATTGTTTCAGTTATAAGTATCTTACTCTCAAAAATTTGTTGTAGTCCATCAGATGCCTTGTTAATCTTTGTCAACATGATGGCTTTTTGTTCGTTTCCTGAGGAAATGTTTTCTTTTTTCTTTCTGATAAACTAACTTCAGTTATCTTATTAACCTACCATGAGTGATGTGGGTCCAACTCTCTTAAAAAGGTCCAGTTTCTCTTTCATGCCTTATTTTACAGGCTTTATTTATCAACATATTTAAATAGAGGCTACCCGAATTTTCTGAAATTTTTTCCATGTGCAGCTGTATTTCTGCACGGATGGGAAGTAACATTTTTTTAATGTCTATAACGTTTCAAGGTCAATCTATATGCAAAACATATTGGAAAATCACCCGAACAGATTGAAGAAGACATAAGGCGCCCAAAGTACTTCAGCCCCAGTGAAGCTGTTGAATATGGCATCATAGATAAGGTTCTTCTGGTTAAGTGTTTTTTTAGTTTAGTCTACTTTTTGTTTTGTAATCTCTGAGAGAATTTCCACAGGTACTGTACAATGAGAGGAGCAATGAGGACCATGGAGTTGTTTCCGACCTGAAAAAAGCACAACTAATTTGATGGAAATTTTGGCTTGGTTATCCCAAACACTATTCAAGGTAGAGCCAAACTGCAAGCCATGGCCATATATAATTATTACCATTTTGCATGATAAATTTATTATTGTATAATTGCCTGAGGATGAATGACGATTGCCTCTTTCTACCGTCTCTGGCCAAATAGGGTGCATATTTCTGTATCTTGTTTGGTATTTGAACGCACCCATATCATACTCATCTTGGGTTTCTCTAGGGCACCAAATCTAATCAGCCACACACATATACTTCTAGAAGGAATAATAGTTGGCTGATGGACTTTTTCCTTTGCAACAATCGTGATATTAGAATTAGAATATTCTTCCTGGATTTGCTGAATCAGTTAACGATATTTTAAGAAAGTGACAGAGATTAGCCTGTGGGCTATTTGGAAAGAAAGGAATAATCAGACTTTTGAGGAGCATTTTTTCTTTTGGAGAAGTTAGAAACTCTTGGTTCTATACCCCTTTTTTTTCTCTCTCTCTCTCTCCCCCCGAAGGGTCATCCTCTTTGTATTGATGAGGATTTAAGGTGCCTTATTGACATTTTGACTAAGCTGTAGATTCTCTTCTTACATATGGGTAACATCTCCTGGGCGCCTTATTTAAATAAGTTCCTTTTTCCCTCTTTAAAAAAACTATTAGGTAAAAAGAGAAGGTCCAGTGAGCCCAAATCCAAAGTATCAAGGCCCATCCAGTGTTTTGGTAAAGCCTATCTAGCCAACAGGTTGCAATCCCATTCAAATATGTGTTGGGATATCTGAGCTTGCACAGCCTTGAATGCCGCATTTCTCTTCTTTATCATCATAATCGTCCTTTATGAATGATGATGCATGGGTTGAAGCACTGTTTTGAGTTTGGAGAAGCATATTGTTAGGTTTCAGTCGTAGAGGGGGTTTTCCTAGAGAATGTTTTTGCACCTATAATTGGCCTGGAGAAGAATCATGGCCTTCTCCTTCTCCTGTTCTCAGCTTGAGGACTATCCTCTTCCCTTATGCCAAGAGGTTGAACCATCTAAGCTGACATTGTGGGTAGGGGGTGGGGGTAGTGGGTGTTCGTGGAATCTTTGAAGAAGACAACTCTATGGGAATAGATAGTTGAGTCAGAGGATCATTGTAAAATTTTTCTTTGTTGTCTCTGCTTTCTGAATCAAAATGAGTTTTATATAACAAAAAGAGAGTAAGAAACATGTTGGGGTGTCATCTTTGAGGTTTTAGAAGGCAGGTGTTTGAGTTATGCAAAAGGTTAGAGGAACGCAGTTCAATTTAGGGCCTTACTTTCGAAGAAGGGGGTGAAGTATCAGTAAGGAAGAGACAGAGTTGTGGATACTTGGGTTTTCTGTCAACCATGAGACGGACTAAGATAGATACAAAAGCCCCAAGCAGATACGGATATTGCTTTGATAGCATCTACTTGACTAAATTACTTTTTGGAATCTATCTTTATCCACTTTGCATAAGGATTGGGTTGCCATCGTGTGTCATAGTAATTGTGCTATTTCTCTATTTCTTTTGTTATCTTTTTTCCCTTGGAGGATAGCTTAACCTCCATTAGTTTCTATCTTTTTTGTGCCTTTCTAATGATATCCTTCTTCCATTGAAATTATTTCTTGGAATGCATGAGGTATCAGTGGTCCCGGCAAAAGCATTGTTGTTAAAGGGACTTTGAATAAGTGGGGTTGGCAACTAGTGTGCCTCCAAGAGATGTAAAAAAAAATGGTTATTGATTTGTCAGCTAGAAGCCTATGGGAGTAAAAATTGCTGTATGGCTTAACCTCCTCGTAGGAGCAATAGGTGGAATCCTTAGTGTCTGGAAGGATTCTTAGGCATATTTTAGTGGGAGCAGTAGGTGGAATTCTCTTTTTTTGGAAGGATAATTAGGCATGTATTAAATGCTTCACTGATAGCCTATTGAACTGTGGATGCTATCTAGAAGGGAGATTCAAGTCTTCTTTGCAAGTTGGACATTTGAAAAGCTTATGGCCGCATATTTCCTTCTTTACTGACTTAACTCGATGGTCAGTGACAAGTGGTATGGATCAATAGTGGCTTTTCTACAGCTTTTTATGTGATCATCAGTGGAGGTCTTTCTAAATTTTTTTAAGGTCTCTTAAGGGCTTGAGGCGAGAGTAATCGTTTTCTACTTTTGTTTTTATTTTTGGTCATGGAAGCTTTCAATTGTATGCTTCTTAAAGCCAAATATTCGAATTTGTTTTGAGGAATTATTTGTATGGACTTCACCACCTAATATTTGTAGATGACTCTTTGCTTTTTGGCTAGCCTGAGAGGGGAGTTCTGCAACTTTAGATGTATCATTCTATATTTTCAGATTAAGTTAGCTGATATATCGCATTAAATTAGGATTAAAGAGAGAGGAAAATTGAAGAAAATGGAAGATAGATCTAATCTACGATGACAGAGATTGACAACAATCAAAATCACAAGATTGTCACAACCACAGCCATAGGGTTGTTAGACACTCAAATTAGTTGGAGGAGATCAATAATTTTATCCATAAGCAGTCTGGTTCAATAAGGATAAAAACCCATGTACTTAGAGGGTGTTTACATAGCCTAATTTGATTAGGGTTTCTAAATAGGAGAACAACAACAAAATAAATCTTCTAATTAAACACAAACCCTAGTGACATTGAAGCGGTTTAACAAAAACAAAATCAAGCTCATGTACTTCTGTTACATAGCCCATGTACTTCTGTTCATGAAATAGTTGTCAGTGAATCGACGAGGACGAGGTGGGAGACACTCATTCTGGTGGCAATGGGCTAATTATTCCGGATCCTAATTTGCATGAAAATGTCTCTTAGCTCTGGTACATGTACTTGTGACATTCATCATATCAGGTGGGAGATATTAATTACATCAGAAAAAACAAGATAAAAAAATAAAATAAAAAGACCAAAAGAGGAGTAGAACTCCTACATGAATCCAGAACAAAACAAAATAAGAAAAAATTATCTACAACCTCGGATAGGGAGGGACATATTAAAGACATCAGAAAAAATAAGATTATAAAAATATAATGGACCAAAAGAGGATTAAAGCTCCCAAAGTTAGATTGCCAATCTGTACTCCAGCTTATATGACTTCTTTAATATCTATTCCCATCATACATCACCTAGTAGCTCAACATAAGGAAATAGTGCAACAATAATCTAAGAGAGAACTTTTACGGGAAACATAATCTCCTATTACCCTTGCAACTAGGTATGCTTTAATTGATTCAATGGGGTAAGAGTAGTTGTAAACACATCCCGAGCTGCAAAACTCTCTTCTCAAAAGGCCATTATTTCCGCAAGATGACCAACAATTTCTTAATATAGATCATATTTGCAATATGGTCAATTGAAATGTTAGCTCAACTAATACCTACAATCTAGACTATCAACTTGACTAGTTTTTGACCTGCCTTTTGGCCTAACAAAAGCACTGTCCACCTTCTAGGCCCTCATAAGGTGAGGTTTCCAGCCATATATATGCCAAAGTAGTCTTTTTGATGAAATCCTAATTTACAGTAGAACATGGTTTGAATACATAGGGCCTCTCAGGTCTGTACTTTTCTCGAGCTCAATATCTTGTTTCTGGACAATCCAAATCTCTCTTTGTACACACTCAAGTCTCATATCTGTCTCACAATTTTTTGTGACGGGGCGCGATGTAAGTATTTTTACTCTTTTATATTACAATGGTCTAAACGGTGACCATTAAAAGTCTTCAGGGATTTATTGGCTTGACCTAGCTGCGACAAAAAGCTTGTCAGAGATTTTAGGATAATTGCAAAAAGTTTTTCAGGGAAGCCTCCGCAACTTTCTAACAACTTAAGAAGGCAATGACTAAAGCTTCTGTGCTAGCCTGGCCTTACCAGGTTTCTCATAGAAGTTCATTGTGGAATGTTCTCATTGGATTTTGGTACTGCAGTTAGTGCTTCAACAGAAGGGTTAGCTATGACTTTCTTTGGTAAAGGCATTGGCTGTGCATCACCACAAGCTCCCAGCATATGACAAAGAACTTGTAGGGATTTCTGAAGCTATTTGACAATGGCGGCCATACCGGTGGGGTTGATTGTTTGTGTTATTAACTGGTGGTGACTTCACAGCAATATCATTGACTGAGCGAATTAATGGGAGTTTGTACTGGAACATTGTGCTGGCAAACGTGGTATCCAATGCTCTCTCTTGGCAGTTGGAAGATAGAGGCAAGCTGGCTGCCATTTCTATTCTATCTGAGATAGTGAATAATCTTGAATCCTTTATAGTTTATCGAAGGGTTATTCTCTTCGAGAGACAGAAGATCTCGGAGACCTTGTTGATATTTTGTCTTATCTTCTTAATTGTTATTTATGCATGTACAACCCCTGGGTGCCTTTTCAAAATACTGCATCTCTATTTTTATCCCCAAAAAAATAAGAATATTCCTTTTCTGGGAAACAATTTCTTGTTGAAAATTTTGGAGAAAGGAAACCTTAATTCTTTAAGGACTTTTTCTAGTTCCTGCATCAGTCAGGGTAGGTACTACTCACTAGTACTTCAGAGTGTTTATATGGTGCCACTAAATCTCATTAGACATGCCTACAATTTTTTACAAAATCTCATTAGCCATACCCATAATAGCTTTATCTTTGGAATCAATTTGACTTGCAATGACTGAGGGGCCCTCCGTGTATTTGACTTTTTAATACAGACACTATATTAAATGGGAAGTCATGGTGCTGGATGTGGAAAACTTTTGTGAAACTGTTACACCCCATTCTTCGATGTGTTGAGTCTGTGTGCTTATTGAACTACTAGATCGTAGTGCAGAGGCAATTTTTTAGTGACACCTGTCTTTAAATTTCCTTGCACTTTCAGGTTGTTTTCTTTCCATACCCACACCCTAATTGTTTGTAGTCTTTTCAGCACAAATACATTCCAGAAATGGAAAATAATTGCTTGTAGTTTTCATGGTCGCAACTACTTTATAGATAATTGCTCTGCCTACTGACACTTCTGTAAGACACCTGGGAAAAAATGTGAAAGCCATAATTTCTCCTAATATTATGTGGTTTTGTTTTTGCTTCTTGATCATTCCACAAGGATAACCGGAATTGAGATTGAAAGTGACCCCAGAGGCATTTTCAATTTCAAGTGGGTAGGGTGCTTCACTATATACTGAGGATTTATTCCCAACTTCATCACCTTATGAGCAGCTCATCCCATCCAAAATTTCCGACGTGTAGGCATGAGAGATGCTAGGAGCTTGGGATAAAGAGTTTGTGCAACATGAGTTGGTTCCCCCCAAAGTCTAGTCTCAACCTGTCTTCCACTATTTGTTCTAGTGGAAAGGGCACAACTGTGGAAGCTGATGTATTTTTTTAAGACCATAGAAATGAACCTGTTTGGATTTGTCTATTTTTATTTAGACCTTTTAAGCACGTGGAGCTTTGTAAGTTTATTGTAATTTGCAGCTCTAATCTCATGTGGCTAAATGATAAACTTGTTTTCGTGACTTTTTATCTAGCTTTAGGTTTTGAGTAAGTTGCGAAGAGGGCGGTGAAAAATAATGTCCAGGTAAACAATATGTTCAGAGATTAAGGGCATTGTTGTAGGGAAAAAACCTCATCAAGTTATCTGAAAGAAAAGAAATAGGTCGTCCGGCTAATTTCAGTAATTACACAACCTCTAGTCACCTTTACAGAAAATCGGTTTTTAGGCTAGTTTAAATTTAAATAGAGAAAAAAAGGTAGTCAATGTCACTGTCTATACATACGTGTTGTTTCGGAACTATAAAAAGGAATTTATGCTAACCAAGTAACTGACCCTTGTTTGTCTCTATTGGCGCAGCATGGGTTATGCTAACCAAGTAGCTGACAAGAGCTTGTGCTTCCAATCGGGAGCAGATCAAGGCAATTGAGGGCCAAAGTAGATTACTGTTGAGAAAATATGTTTGTATGCATAAAACATGCTTGCTTCTGCCAAGTAAAAAAAGTGATTGGGATGTAAGCTTATGAAATATCAATGAATTTATTTAATTTAGTATTTAGTTAAATTTTGTATCACTTGCTTTGATACAAAATAGCAGCTGATGTTATCATGTCTTTTGTTATAGGTAGCGAATGAATAGTTGGGTTCCAGATAAGTTCCGTAAAATCTGAACCCAACTCGATTTTAAATATATAAAATCTGAATCCATCCCAAAACTGCAAAGGATTTTCTAGATACTTTATTTTCGTCAACCAGATTTTCTGTGAAACTCATACCCAGACTGCTATGAGTTGAAGAAGAAGATAATGTGTGGGGTCTAGCTAGCAGGAAGAGGAAGAAGATGCACGAAGACAGGAAGCAGATGCGGCGCAGATGAGTTTGGGTTTGGGAATAAAAGAAGAGGAGGCAATTTACAAAGTGACTTTTGGCAATGGTGCGGTGCAAGAAGGAAGAGGAGAAAGGAAGAAGATAACAAATAACAAAATGTTAGGGGTTAGGGTTTTATGTTTGTCTAATTAATTTTTAAGGTTCTTTTGGTCACCCTCTTTCTTTTATCCGTAGGCATAGAGTAATTCATGTTACAATTTTTATTATATTTTCTGATAAAATCTTAGACCAAAACATTAAATTCTATTAAGATAACTTTTTAATATAAAAAGGCAACTAGTTGCACCAACCCACCATTCACCCCTCAAAGAGAATACCCACGGAAAATAATAATAATAATAATAAAACACCAATCTTCTCAGCCTCATT